TCAAATTTGTTAACAAGAATTAAAGTTAATTGTATGAGATGCAATTAACAAAATGTATGTTGATACATTACGATATAAAGTTAATTTTGAATTGGATTCAAAATTATGAGAGTGATGGATATTAGAATTTGATTCTAATATGGTTCATTACTTTAAGTTTAATTTGATTAAATATGATTTAATTAAATTAATGGGATATGTTAATTGGGTTAAATTAAATTAGATTTAATTAAATTACATTAATAATTCTTTTTGTAATTAATTAAATTAAATTAAATTAATTATTAATTTAATTAAAGTTGTTTTAATTAAATTAAAATTAAAAAAAAATTGAAAATGGGAGGAAAATCCTTCTACTTTCCACCGTCAAGGTGGAAAGTGGGGAGGTTTTCCCATGAAGTGATGACTTCCCCCTCACTCCTCCTTCACTCTAAAAGGGAGGTTCTCCCATGTTCTTTTCGCAGTCGCTTGGTCCTCGATTCTTGAGTTTCCAAAACGTCAACGAAAAAATCTATCTTGATCTCTCGATTTCCCTTTCAATTATAAGATAGTTCCCACAAACCGAGTTATTAATATCCAGAGGATAGCGAAGAACACTTTTTGGTGGTGTCTAATTTGAAGAGGTGTCTTCAAAGGTATGTTTCACCAACTTCCTTTTATTCATGCCTATGTCTTTTCTTCGTTGTAATTCTAAAACAAGATCGAAGCACGCGCGTTCACGTGTTTCCGTTACGGGATCCGATCCATTCACTTCCGAGGTGAGAGACTGCCATTCTCCTGACTTGTACGTTTATTAGACGGTTTGATCTGCTTAGGTTCAATCTAAGCAATCCGACAGGTTCGACCTGCAGCTCGACAAGAATAACCGCCGGTCGTGAGGTCTATCGAACGTCATGCCTATAAATAGAGGGTCTCATTCTTATCCCAGGTATTAAATCTCTCCTCGAACTTGTTATTAAGTCCGAACTGTTTACTGACTTGAGCGTCGGAGATCTTGTCCTCTTGTGCAGGTCAGTTCGAAGCATTCCGGGTCAGAAGACTTCCGAATTCGACTTTGACCAGGTCAGACGTTGTGCTTGCATAAACATACTTTTCTAATCCATGGCCTTGAATTAACGTTAAAGTCTGAAATCTCCATAGCAAGTAATTGTTATCTGTTAATTTGATTAATGAAATTTGGTGCCCTGGATTTGTGTAAAGCGAATTCTGCCTTGGTATGGTTGCTACTCCACTATTAATTTGGGTTGAGCTTGATGATGCCATTGTTGTTAAGCAAAGTACTCTGATACCATTTTGAAATAGAAGAAGAAAGAAGATGGAGAATGATTACAATGTATAATTCTTGATTTTTCACATTTATAATATTCTCTTCTTATACAGAAGAAGATTAACCAACTCTAACCACTGCAGAAATTGATTTTAACAATAATGTAACTAATACTAATTTAGTAACTAATGACAGAAGCTTCAACGGCTGGAGGTGGCAATGATGGCGGCTTTGGCGGTAGGTAGTGACAGCGACGGCGATTCGTTGGAGAAGGGGGAGGGGAAGAGAGGGAAGAAAGAGAAAGAAAGTAGAGTGGGGAGGAAGAAGGATCGCCATTTTACATGTAAATAAATAATAATAATAATAATAATAATTAAAAAGTAATTTTTTTTCTAAAAAAAAAAGTAATATTTTTTTGCCACATAATCTTCAACAAATAATGACCCTATCATCTTTGTTTAGTGATTAATGGTCAGTTAGCTTCAAAACTATTTAAAACAAAATTTTTAATTTATTTTGAAACCTCAAAACTAAATATACCTAACGATCAAAAATGCATTTTTACCTTTTTTTTCTCTTTTTTTTTCCTAAAATTAAGATTTCAATTTCCCATAAAAATTTTACTGTAAAATATATTTTATTAACTAAATTATACTAGTTTATTCTTGAAACTTACTCTCCAAAATGGAAAAATAAACACTTTCGAAACTCTATTTATATAATATTGTAGACAATAATGCATATATTGCTGATACAATATCATTAAAATTAATAATAGTTGAAAAAACTTTTCAAAACCAAAATCAAATTAGCTCAATTATGGCACAAAAAGAGATTAAATAGATTAACAACATTATCTTTTGAAAAATGATACTTTGTTGTTGATGTAAGATTATCAAAATTTAATCCGTATAATTTTACATCTTAAAAGAAAAAAAATAATAACATACTAGATTAAGGTCATTTATTAAAAAAAAAATCCATATAAACTACGGTTGAGTGCAACAAATTTAGAGGGTGAAAATTTGAACCTCAAATATTAAAGAAAGTAGTCAAAAGTACCGAGTCCTTGACCATATTAATATTATTGTGATTCATAATTTCAAAAGAAAGAATAACTTGATTTATCCTAAAAGCATAAAATTCTTGAGCACATTAAAAAATAATTATCGATATATAACTTCACTGAATCTTATTTTATTTTAAAAAAATCTGTTATTGAAAAAAAAAGTTTCTAAACATTTTCGCACCAGACGGACGGGGACAGCTATTGAATTCCCCTTTAGTTTGAAAAGTGGATCCTTTCCAGACCGTTTTCCAACGGCTAGTTATTTGGACCATGTAAAAAGTCTACCTTGTCCTTTTCTCAGATCCTTGAAGGGAGCGGCTCCCTTGCATGCCTTTTATTTATTAAAAGAAAGGGAAATGTTCTAACAGGGGATTGGAAAAGCAATTTGTATTGTTATACAATCTTGAATTTATAAATGGTTTTAATAATTTTTTCCTTTTGAAAAAGGAAATAACTTCTCCTCATAAACTTTATAAGATGTATAAAGTTTTTTCCATTCCCTGTTAAAACTTAACTTGTAAATCTGTACCTTCAATTTATCCCATTGAACCATAAATTTGAAGAAGTACCTTACCTTCTACTTTAACTTTTGTTTGAAGAGCTTTGAAAAAAGAAAAAAAAAAGAAAAAAAAGATTATGGGTTTAATGAATTATAAAATATTTATCTGATACATGATAGGAATTTCAAGTAAGAACAAACATTAGAGTTAGTTTTTGTTGTTATTATTATTATTATTATAATTTATGTATTTTGGGACAGTTATTCCATGGTTGATTTCGTGTCTTAATCAATTTTTTAAATGCATTAATCGGATTTAATTTTGTGCAAAATTTTATTTTTTCATTGAAATTAATAAGTTTTGAGATATTTTTACCTTCTTGTTGTGAAATTAGTAGGTGAATTGCGAAAGTTGAATAAACGGTAAAATTTGCAATACCGCCTAAGTCTAGGATTCAATTTGATGAAATTGAAAGTTTAAGATGAATATCGATATAGTTTACCACAAAGTTGAAATTTTACTCTTTTTATATTATCTAGAATTAATTTTTTTCCTTCTAATGTTAGACTTACTTTGTAATGTTTGATTAGTTAAAACCCTGACATCCTCTCTTTTATTGTTTTTTTTAAGATTATTTATTATCTTGTAATCTTGCTTTCTTGTTAAGAATTTTATTAGGGATATTTTGGTCTTTCAGGATCTACTAAATTTATTTCTTTCTAAATCTTTATAAAAATTTGATTTTTTAGTCCTAATTTTCATAAACCTTCAAAATCCCAACTATAACAAAATTTCAATCCGATAACATTTCTTTTAAGAACATTACCATTGTTATATTAAAAAATAAATAAAAAAGAAAAAGAACATTACCATTTTTTTTTTTTTGAGAATTAAAAAAGAACATTAGCATTGTGTATTCATATACTTTATATTTAATTGATCAGTTTTTTTTCCTTAATAATCACATGTAATTTTTTTTTTAAGGAAATCCACATGTAAATCATAATAATCAAATTTCTCAACAAATAATAATAATAATAAACCAAAAATTTATCTTATAAATCAATGATTATAATTTTTGACAACTAAAATAATAATGTCCCGAGTCAAACTTTGGATACATTTTTTTAATTATTAAATATGATTACCACTATGTTGATTGGTTCAGTTTATATGTTGGGAATAGTTCTAATTTTATGATAGCCACCTACCTTCAGAATTAATCCCTATGTATTTTCGGGCGCTAGATATTATAGGGTCAAACGATTGACTCGTGAGATTAGTCGAGGTGCGCGCAAACTGGCGCAGACACTCACAAATTTTAAGAAAAAAAATGTTTGGGTTGGTCAATGAATGTTGATTTTATTTCTTTAATTCAATTACAATATTTTACTCTTTTACTAATAAAACATTTTACTCCTTAAGAAAATATTTTATATGGTATACTATGTTTAAACAATAAATTTTTTATGATTAATTTGATCAAAATTGAAAAATTAAAAAACATTTAGCAAAATAGCAACTACAATTAGTCTTTTCAAATATAACATTTTAAAAAAATAGAGGTTCAATTTTAAAATGGCAATTTTATCCAAATGATATATATTTGTAATATATCTTACTACTGATATATGTATGTGATATACATCTAATATACTACTTGATATAAATTTTTGATATACTTGTAATATATATATTTGATATACTATTGATATGAGTGTCTGTGATATACATCTAACATACTACTAATATAAATGTCTGATATACATCTAACATACTACTAATATAAATGTCTGATATACTATTGATATAAGTATCTAATATAAGTGAAAATTATTGTTATATTTAAAAATTTAAAAAACAAATGACATATTTTGAAATACATAAAAAATTTTTGCTACACAAAAAATATATATATTTTGGAATAAGAAAACTTAAATATTTAACAAAGATAATCCTAAAATTATTTTTAATTATTTAATTACAGGGAAGAAGGGACAAAAAATAGAACGGGAGACTATACGCATAGGCATTTCAGTCATTTCATAGAGCATTTCAAAATTTGATTTCATTACGAAATTATTTTAATTTCCTAACGGTCAGTTTCTGAACATTTGCATTCTTCTTCATCAAAAACCTCTGCTTCATCCGTTCTCGAAATTTGAATCCTCTCTCTCTCTCTTCTCTCTCTTCTCTCTCTCTCTCTCTCTCTCTCTAACTGTTCGATCGCTCTCTTTCAAGCATCATTTTGCTTCAGAATCAGAACGATGAGGTCGAACACAGCAGAATCGATGGAAAATGGGTTCTTGGGAAGCATATCCGCATCTTCTTTTCGAAATCTGCTTCCTCGATCCATGTCTTCAAAGAAAAAACTCAACTCCTCTATCTGTAAAACTCCCAAATCGAACTCTGAAAATACGCCTCCCGTTGACCCAAACATTCAGCTCAAGGACGGCGAGATATCCACGACGATTTCCAAGCAATCCAAGTCCGAAATGCGGAATTCTCAGCACGATGCGTCCGGTACAGATTCTAATCGCGAAGTGTCTGCATCTCAGTTTCTAAAATTTAAGGTATGCCTAATTTTCTTCAGTGATGGTACTGGAAATTCAGTTCAATTGGAAGAGTTTCAGTGATTTTCTTTTGTTGTTGGAAAATTGATGACCTCTTAGGGCGAAGTTGTCCAATCAGACAGCCAACATGAATTTCCCGTCCCTCCTGATCCACCGATAAAGGTATGGCGAATATCATTAAGTTCATTTTTTAGATCTATCATTTCTTATTTCAATTATGTGGTGAAAGTTTACGTTTGTTTCTTCTTTATATTTTTGGCGGTGGCGGTGGATTTTGAAATAGGTTGTAGTGAGAATTAGACCCGTTAATGATGGAGAAAAGGAAGTGGATAGATCGGTGAAGAAGATTTCTGCAGATGAATTGACTTTTGGGGACCGTAGATTTTCGTTCGATTCAGTTTTTGATTCAGATTCAAAACAGGTACGGCGCTTGATCCCTTCTCTTAAGTAGCAACAGTAAGATTCCATAGTCATAATCTGAAGAACGTTAGTTCGCTGTCTTGTAAATTTTGACTGTCGGATTTAAGCCGTTTGCAGTGAGGCATTTTTCATCACGAGAAAGGCGAAGATTTAAAAACAACAAATGGTCAAACAAAACAAATTCCATTTTGTCAATTTTGCTGTTCCTGAAGTAACAAAATTGTGATGTTAAAGCAGTTTGATTCTTATTAGCATTGTTTTGTAACTTTCAGGAAGATATCTTTAAGAAGATCGGGCTTCCGCTAGTTAAGGATGCGTTAGCTGGTTATAACACTTCCATCATGTCATATGGCCAGGCAATAATTCACTCTGTATTCTACCCAAAGGCTTTCTCACATCCATAATGTTATAAGGTGGTGAATTAATCAATTTCTAACTCGCATTATGGATTTCTTGAATTGAATCTTAACAGACGGGAAGTGGTAAGACATTCACAATGTGGGGTCCCCCAAGTGCTATGGTTGAGAATCCTTCACCTTTTAGTAACCAAGGCCTTGCTCCTCGCATCTTCCAAATGCTGTTTTCCGAGATTCAAAAAGTAGGTATCTGTTTCCTGTTTATTGGTAATTCGACTAGATGGTTGTGTTCTTGTTGTGTATGCTTTACAACTGTTGTATTCATCAAACACAGGAACAAGAGAACTCTGAAGGAAAGCTGATAAATTATCAGTGCCGCTGTTCTTTTATGGAGGTATTAATTATTTTCTTAACTTTTTTGTACTGGAAAGTTTTTACCTATCTAAAGTATAATAGAGCCCTCTTTTGCATTGATATACAACCAGATATTTAATGAACAAATTGGGGATTTGCTTGATCCGACCCAGAGGAACCTTAAGGTAAGATGGGGGCAGCCCACCATTCTCAATGTATAGTTGGTTTTCTTCAGTATCTTTCTGTGTTTGGTGTTTTATACATCTTCTGAGCGATGATGGATATTGTTCAGATAAAGGATGATCCAAAGAATGGGCTGTATGTGGAAAATGTCACAGAGGAATACGTGACAAACTATGATGACGTGACTCAGATTCTCGTCAAGGTTGGGATTGAAAACCAATTTTGTGTTTTGGAACACTTTGTGATCATATTGGTTCATGCTTTATTTGTCTAACTTCTCTACAAACGATGCAGGGCCTTTCTAGTAGAAAAGTTGGAGCAACCACTATAAATTCTAAGAGCTCTAGATCTCATATTGTGTTTACTTTCATCATCGAGTCATGGTGCAAGGTACCTTGATTCTAGAGTTCAGTTTCTTGTTATAGAGAATACATGTTAATATGGGTTTTGTTTAATTCTTCTGTTTCTGTCATCGTGTGATTTGGTTGGTCGAGAGATTCAAATTTGTATCAGTAATATATATAATGTAATATCTTTGGATACAGGAAACTTCATCCAAGTGTTTTGGTAGTTCAAAGACAAGCAGAATCAGCCTTGTTGATCTTGCTGGATTAGATAGAAATGTAAGCGATGCCATGGGTAGACAAAGCACAAGAGACGGCAAGAATTTGAAGAAGTCCATGTCACGGCTTGGGTATGTCAAGCATATATTTATTATTCAATAAAGAGTTTTTTTTTGCTCATGAGAAATAATTATCGATGGAGTTTCTGGAATATTAGAGTTATGACTATTCTGAAATAATTATATGTTTGGTTGCAACTGAGATATTTGACAATGTAAGAGTTTTTCATTTTTCTTAAAATCGAGGTAACCGTTGCTTTCATTATGTCGGTGCAGGCACTTGATCGATAGGCTGGCTAAAGAAACTCAATTGAAAACATCTGAAGATCGTTTGTACAGAGGCTCCTGCTTGACCCATTTATTAAGAGAGTCATTAGGGGGCAATGCCAAGCTCACAGTCATTTGTGCCATCTCCCCTGATAACAAGTACATGATCAATTACCTTTCATTTTCATTCTAATAGCTTACATGGGAAATGCTGTTATCATCTTGAAACATCCCCATCAATATTAAAGTATCTTTTTCTTGTTTAAATGCAGCTATTCTGGTGAAACATTAAGGACATTAAGACTTGGACAACGATTAAAATCCATTAAGAATCAACCAGTGATAAATGAAATAAAAGAAGACGAAGTGAATGATCTGAGCGATCAAATTCGTCTGTTGAAGGTATCAAGTTCTATCTGCATTGGGTTCATTCTTCAAGAACGACTTGTGTAAGTTTGATGTGTTTTCTAGTTTAACCGAACTTTACGTTTTGGCCAACTGCAGGAAGAACTTATAAAAGCAAATGCCAACTCGGGCAAGTCAGTTCCAAAGATTGGTTACTTTCAAGGCCCTAATGTACGAGAAAGCCTGAATCAGTTAAGAGTTAGCATTAACCGCTCTCTGATCTTGCCATGCATTGATAATGACTCAGATGAAGAGGTCAATTGTGATGAGGAAGATGTGAAGGAATTGCATCAGCAAATAGAAGATAAGTTTCATAGCTTTTCTGAAGAGATCTCAGATAAAAGAGATTCACTTCAGTTTTCCTCTGTAGGAGAAAGTTTTGCTTCATATTTGACTAGTGATGATGAAGTAAGTTATCCCCAAACAATTGAAGAAATAAGCCCAGAAGAAGAACATGAGGATGAACATTTTCATGAGGACAAGATTATTTTAACTGATAATCTCGGTAGCCATGATTCCAATGTTCTTGATCCTGTGAATGGAAGGAGCATTTCTGTCAGCTCATTCTGTCACTTCCCTAATCTTGAAGATCCACCATTGTCTGAGTCTCCGAAAATTGGAAACTCTCATAGGAAAAGCTTGGCTCTTGCGCCGAGTTTTTCAGAACACCATGATAAGATGTCAGACAGCTTTAAGTTTAATAAAGATGTTCTGAGGCAGTCGAGTAAGAACTTCAGATCCTCGCTGCAATCGAGCGATAAATTTGAGGATCCCACCGAGTCCTTAGCAGCTAGCCTTCAAAGAGGCTTGAAGATAATTGATTATCACCAGCAAAGCTCGATATTGAACAAATCTTCAGTCTCCTTCTCCTTTGAGCATCTGGCACGAAAATCATGTCCAGAAGTCGATAAACCAATGGCGTCTCTTCAGACATTGGAAGAAGAAAACGCCATTGCTGTAGCTTCTCCCCATCGCCTTTGTGCATCTTGCCAAAGAATAATTTACAAGAATGACACCAATGAAGATAAGAGTAGCTTGAAGACGCAGGTTGTAGCAGTAAATGAATCCAACGAGGGAGGGGAACTTGGAAAGGTATACACTTTATTTATTAGCAGCTTTCGATTTCACTAATTTTTTATGAACCCCCTTAAATCTGGTTGTAATTTAAATATGGTACAGTACGATAGAAGTCTTTTTTAACACATTTAAATACTAAAGGGATTTTCTTATGAGGTGTAGGATAATAAATTTACTTAACTATGTAAAGACGAAGACTTAACTAATCCAGATGTCTGAAATGTTAGTGTCATATTGATGGATTTATATGGTTTAACAAACAATTTGACATGCGTGGAGTAATATCAGCAGGAGATTGTTGTACAAGAGAGATGTGAAATAAAAGAAGTGCAAGAGGTGCAGCAGGACAATGGAAATGGATTCAGTGATGTGTCTGATAAGGAAGAACTTCTTAAAGAAATCCAAAATTTAAGGAGTAAGTTGCAGGCTTTTGCTGATGTTTCTGCTACCAAGTCTACTGACAAGCTGAGATCCTCGCTATTGTTGTCACGCTCGATCCAACTCCGAAAAAGCAATCTAGGAGGAGGTTGTCAAACTATTAACGAGGAGGAACTTGAAAAAGAAAGGGAGAGATGGACAGAAATGGAGAGTGAATGGATTTCTTTAACTGATGAACTGAGAGTTGATCTGGAGTCGATTCGTCAGCGTGCGGAGAAGGTGGAGCTGGAGCTGAAAATGGAGAAGAATTGCAATGAGGAGTTGGAGGATGCGCTTCAGAGATCTGTTCTTGGACATGCTAGATTTGTTGAGCATTATGCTGAATTGCAAGAGAAGCATAATGAGTTGGTTGGAAAGCATCGTGCCATCATGGGAGGGATAGCTGATGTTAAAAGGGCAGCGGAAAAAGCCGGTTCAAAAGGTCGCGGTTCTCGCTTTTCGAAATCTCTTGCTGCAGAGCTTTCAGCTCTGAGATTTGAGAGGGACAGAGAGAGAGAATTTTTGAAAAAGGAAAACAAAAGCCTCAAGCTTCAACTTAGAGACACTGCTGAAGCTGTCCATGCTGCTGGGGAACTTCTTGTTAGGCTAAGAGAAGCAGAACATTCAGCATCAGTTGCGGAGGTAACGGGCCGTTCTCATTTGATAACAATTTTGGTTTTAGTTTTTTCTATATCTAAAAGTTATTAACATTTTTCTTTGCAAAACACAGGAGAAGTCTACAACAGTTGAGCAAGAAAACGAGAAGTTGAAGAAGCAAATGGAGAAGCTGAAAAGAAAACATAAGATGGAGATGATTACAATGAAGCAGTACCTTGCAGAGAGTAGATTGCCTGCTTCTGCACTCGAACCACTGTATCAAGATCATTCAGACGTCGGAACCTACAAGAGAGGAGCCCCATATCTGGATGATGATCAAGCCTGGAGATCAGAATTTGGAGCTATATATCAAGAGCCACACTACTAAGTACTCTGGTTTAATCAAAAAGTTCAACTCTGGCGCTGTACAAACTGAAGAGGGGACCCTACTTGGGTCATGTGAAGTTGATTTATGTGACATTGTTCTGTGATCTAGAAAATATATTTGTGTTGTATGGATGATTCTTTAATATTACTATTTATTCCAATCTACTTACAATGCCTAAGTTTATATTATTTGATTTTTTTAATATTGTTAAAAAAATAAACTATTATTTAGATATAATTACTTCAAAACTAATTTTTTAAATAGTGTAGTTTTAATCTTGGTGAAACAAACTTGTACAAGTGGCCAAATATCGCTTAAATGTGGCAAAGATATGACCTTTTGCCGCTTAGATGACAATGCCATTTTTTCAAGAGACGGCGTTGTTTTCTTTTTTTTTTTTTCCTATTTCTATTTCAATTTTGAAAAGGGTTTCTAACCCTTCCTAGGAAACGTGGATTGGAAGAGAAATAAACAAATAATAATAATAATAATAATAATAAACATATAATAAACAAGAGGTTAAAACTAATCTATCTTTTTTAAAATAAAATAAAATTTATCAACTCAAATTATATAGCATCTATCTCATGTGTTCCACAAAGATAGAAGGTGTCAATTATGAGGTGGTTGTCGACCATGATCGATCTCTCTAAAGCTCTGGGGCCTCGGGCTCCTCACTGGATCTCCACATCCACGTCCATGAATATGTGTTGTATTTGTCATCGAGAGATTGATCTCATTACCATATGATATGTGTTGGTGGAACTAGTGTGTGAGAAATTGTCTAAGGGTGAGTATTGACCATCATCATACTGGCATCATCATTCGTTTGAGTAAAAGGTGGCATGTTTTGAACGTTATGATAGACCGTTTTGAATATAGGAACATTATGCTCGATTAGAACATCTTGTTCCACTTGACGACGCCCTCTACGTTTGAGACTAGGAAGAGATGCAACAGGTACCTTACATATTTGATGAGTTAGTTCCATATTCATCACACCAACATAGCATAAGGCATCATAATCTCTTCAAGTGGTGAGGTGACTGGAATGCGTTCGAAACATGATATCTACGTAAGAAAATAATTCACATAAGTATACATTTAAGTTAATATATTATAGAAAGTTTAATTGAAAATTGTACCATAGAACCAAAAATCGCTCCTGCACAAGTGATGTAACGCCTAGTAATAGATTGATTATGCATGTCTATATCCTAGATTTGAAGCTTCATTAGCATCCATCATAGTTCAGCCAAATATAAAGTCTCTACGTGAGTGCCACCTTGCCACATAAGGTGCAAGTTGTGCCCGCCAAGTACGAGCTCAAGGGTCTATGTCATACTACTTAGGTTTTGTGTTGAATATGTCTAGGACAACTTGCTTCATGTCAAATTGTCTCGTTACTTCATTTGGTTGATGTCACTCAACAACATGAAAGCATATGAGTATACTTACTATAAACTATATCATAGTTTAGTAATAAGGTATATGACTCCCAAATCATTTGATATGTCAATGTCAAAATAATTAAATAAAGGTTAATAAGGAAGAATCAACTTACATATAAAATTTCTTCCATTAACACATAGTATAGCTGATGCAAGGAGATCCATTATGTATCTATATTGGACCAAACATGTATAGCTACTAGGGGTGATCAAGCATGACCAAAAACTGATTCGTCTAATCAAAACTGATGTTGGTCGGTTTAACTAATAGCTCGGTCAAAGTCGGTTCCTCATATATGTTAGTCAATCGAAGTGGTCAAAAATCTATTTTTCGACAGCCCAATCGAATTTATAATTGAAAAAAAAAAGACATCATGGTTGTAGGAAACCATAGCTGGTTTTTCAAACCAGTGGTTGGTGGTAATTTCTTGGGATCTGGCGGTTCCCTTTTATTTTTCTTTTTCTTAAGGTTGTTAATAATTATCCAATCTATAACTTTGATTTATTCTATCTGCCATCCTTTTACTTTCTCTCTCCCACGATTTCATATCCGCAAGGATACATGACAACCCAAGCGAATGGACTACCCGAGTCTTTAGCCACTTGAATCCAATCGTATTGTTGGTTCAATCTGAAAGGAAAAGATTAGATGAATTATCTTTGCATTCAATGATCAAGAGCAGACAGAATACTTACTATGTTCAAGGCCGGAAACACTCAACGAGTTTGGTGAACAACCAAACGCATGATCCGAGGCAAATATATACCCTGAGTTCAACCACACAAAGGATAACTGTAACACCCTAAGATTTTCAACATCCCAACGGGGACCGTTACTAAAAGCCACCTAAGAAGTCCCACTCGTACTAGAGAATTAAACCACTAGAAATACAAACTATGACAAACTCTCACCACGCTTCTGTTGCGCTACTCTGAATAATAGCACTTACAAAAACTTGCACTGAACAAACCAAACACCACTAAAGTTTTAATGAAACTCAAATTTTTCACACTTAATAATTTAATAACGATCTAACATTATAAAACTTCTCAATGAAATCTTCACTAATCATAATACATCAACTACACGAATCTAACTTTCAAAAATAGTAGCGAAGCAAAAGCTAACTCAAGTTCAACTTGAACAAATGTATTATACTGATAAATATCGTCAACAGATTACATCGTCACAATTCAAGTAGCTAAACAAAATTAATGTTCTCAAGAATAACAAACTGTTAATCCTAAAACATCCCTTAAATAAGGAACTTAGCAAAACAATTTATTAATCTAATAACACACTCAAGCTACAAATAAACAACTCTAACTATCCTATTCAAATTGAAACTTAACAACGCAGTGTTAAATGGTCTCTCTAGTCAAGTCTCCTCCTCGCCATCACCATTCCAAGAGTTAGCTCGATACCTGCAAAACTGGAGGGATAAAAAAAAGAGGGATGAGTACAACCACAGTACCCAGTAAGCAACCCTTATCTGACGGGTCACGCATAAACATCATGTTTATCAAGGAAACGACGTGTCATGCTTATCAAACAATAAACACATCATGCTTATCATTAATCTCGAACCTTAAATGAAAGAAACATATTACAAGAAACAGTTTATGCATAAGTTTAACTAAACATGCACCATGCATGTCAAACTCATCCTCGCATCTTAACTCACTAGTTCTCATTCTTTATTCCTCCAAGACTTACTCCTTCGAGTCGTACCGACCCCTGACCTCGCGTAGTTAAGGCATCAACACTTATCTACGGTGCTCAGTGTTGGACCTTGACATTTATCCCCAAGACCTCAACTACTACTCAACGTATTGGTCCTTGACCTCCAAGCAACTTCTGACCTATCACATTATGTTAGTCCTCCAAGTCTAACTCCTCGAATCGTATCGACCCTTGCCATTTATCCCCAAGGCCCGACACTCATCTACAGAAGCTTAGCGTTCGACCTTGCCCTTTATCCCCAAGGCTTTGAACTGTGCATCGACCCTTGACATTTATCTCCAAGGTATCGACGACTACTCAACGTATTGGTCCTTGACCGCCACCACATCAAGACCCAATACTTATTCAACAAATAGAATCACCGTGCCGACCCCCGACCTTTGTACCTGGAGCCTCGACACTCATCTCTACCAAGTTGGAGCATCGATCCCCGACCTTTGCACATGGAGCCTCAATACCCAACTAGTGACGTGCCAGCCTTTTGACCCTGTTAGTCCTTCATTTACTTTATTACATCCCGGAACTCTCACCAAAAACCTACATGCTTGTCAGCCATGACCCATACAGAAATTATCTCACAACAACGCAACATGCATTATACACGAACATATGCAACTATCATTCAGACATGACCATCAAGCATCACAAGAATACCATTCTCTCAACATTCAATATGCTCTACATTCAAAAAGAGAAAGCCAACATATATCTTATCAAACAAGTTCGCAATAGTTCATATTCAAATACAAGTTGCACGACAAAGTTAGCATGCTCCAAACACAACAAATCATAGAGCCAAAACAGTTAGACACAACTTTCACATTCAGCCCAACCATGGCATAACATCAATCCAACTTAGCCAACCAATATTACACACAACATGTATATAGCTCATAATATAGTATATCCCGATGCGGAGCGGCAGACGTCATCCCCTAAAGGGTCTCTTTCGAGATAAGGGTTTAGAGTCGCCACCAATCATCTACGAGGTGTGATTGATCACCTATTTAAAAACTTGGTCTACGAAAAACAGTTTGGACTTGAACTTAGGCTACAAATGTTAATAACCAAGTGCATTGCCAATATGCCAACACCTTGGGATACAATATAAGTTTCTTTCTAAAAATCCAAATTTTTTGTTTTTCAACTTTGTTTAAAAAAAAAAAAAACTAAAACTGAAGGGAAAAAATATTAAGAAAAATATTTATTTTATTTTGAGTTTGGAATTCGTTTAAAATTTTTTATTTAAAAAATCTTAAACTTATTTATAACATCATTTATTTTAAAACAAGCTTTTGCTTAATTTGTAATTTGGGAATTATTTATTTTATTTAACACTTTCAATCACTCTTGAAATAAAAATTTTACTTTTAATATTTTCCTAAAAAAAAATATATTTTTATTTTTAAAAGTCAACACTCATTGATTTAGAAAAAAGAAAAGAAAATTATTTTAAAATCAAAATAAAATCTTTTATCTTTTAAAAAAGACTTATAAAACAAACCTTTATAAAAAAACTGAAACAAAATATTCTTTAAAAAGAAAACCAAAATTACCAAAAGAAAAAAAAAGAAAAGGAAAAAAAAAGTTATTTAAAAGGTTAAACAAAAACGGTAAATTTCTTTTACCTTTAAGAGAACAAAGTTTTCTTTTTCTTATTTAGGAGCTTCTTCTTCTTCTTTTTCCATCACCCACATTCATGGTGGTTATAATGGAGGACCTCGCTGGAGTGTCGCTGCTCGTGGAGGTGTAGATTTGGACGGCTTTGTCGTTGGAGCGCCGCCGTTCGTGGGTGTCGACGAAGTCTTCCGCTGTTCGTTGGAATACTGCCGCTCCGGAGTTGCTGTGTTGAGATTGCAAAGTTGTTCGGGGCGAAAATTGCTACTGTGCNAAAACTGTATTTTTTTTTATCTTAAAATCAATTTAAAAAAACCAATTATTTTGAAATAAAATCTAATTTTAAAACTTA